GTCTCGGCCCAAACCAATTCCCTTTTGGAATGGAGCGGCGTCAAAAGGTCGAAAAATCAACAATTTTTCGCGTCCTGTGACGCGAGTGATCGCGACATAGACGGTGAAGGGATTTCCTGTGGGACCTATACAAAGATCCGTCATCACCCCCTCTTTGATGGTCTGTCCTTGCGCCACATGCGCGGTGATGGCGAACTGGGGTGCGAGCGGGAATTGCGTCCGCGATACACGCAGCTTGGGGCGTTGGCGTTGCCGGTCTAAGTACCACACACGCCTGCAAGTTCCGACGGGGTATACGTTTGCATCCGGCAGACCTGGCACATGCCATGAGGTTGCGGTTTCAAACCTCACATACACTACGGCCGGCAAAGTGTTGCACACGACTCCTTCCGGCGCAGGCGTCTCATTGGCAATCGTGGACCAACCGACGACGTAGCCCTTGGTGCCTTTTAGAATGCCACGCTTCCGGTCGAGGTGATCTGTTGCACGGACAGGCATGCCGACGCACAACGGCAACACGCCGTACAGTCCACCGCACTCTTTGTCGTGTCGCTGCAACCATTGCAATTTCTCCGTCGTCAAATTCGGCTTCTCCTGCACGACCACAGACGACGCAACATCTTGCGCAACAAATAAATACGGTTGCTTGTCTCTGGCATTCGCCCACTGTATGGCGCGAAGCTTGTTCACGTGGTATTTGATGTCGTTGGTGCCTTTCTCTGTAACAACGCCTTTCTCTGTAACAACCCCATCCTGAACAGAGAATTGGTTCCCGCAGACTGTTCGATGGTTAATTTGCCCTGTCGCCACGTTACTGGCTACATGCCCATTGCAAGCGGGACAAACGTAGTCATACTGTTTCGCACAGGGGCGTCCTTCCCTGACTCCGAAAGAGTTACCGCATGCGGCGGTGATTCACTTGGCCTGTTCGTATAGTACTGTTTACAGGCTGCTTGCAATGCGGACACACGTATTGGAAAATCTTGCCTTTGGCCATGGCTTCTGCTGCCTTCGTTGGCCGCACCGCCCTCTGCCGTCCGTTGCTGTCGTCCTGTTGGCCATGTACATCTGCAGGCCCTTCTGTGGTCATTTCTGTTCTGTTCTCTTGTCTGCGCTGTTTTGTCTTCGGCTCTGCTTCCTTCGTTTGGGGGCTCTCCTGTTCTCTATTCCGTTTTCGTTCCGCGATGGCATCCCAGACATCGGCGATGGCGCGTGCCTTTTTTTCTTCCGCTGCCCTCCGCGCGACTTTCGCCTGCGTTGCCGCTACCCGCTGTACCGCTTTGCTGATGCTTCCCCGGGGAATGGGGCACTGCCAGCAGTTGCTACAGACTTGGTCACCATTACAAGAACGATGTTGCGCCAGCCAGGATTCAAAAGCGCACGCTGCTTGCCTTACCTTGCAGACGCTGCATCTCCACCAGCCCCATGCTTTACCCGAACAATCTAAGCACACTCTACCGCCCCTGCGTGCTCGTTTCCAGGCCCCGCCAGAAAATTTCTTTTCGTCCTTGCGCGTATTGCAAACACTACACACTTGTGTCTGTTCGCACGTCTTACAAATACGATAAAATGTGGCTTGTGGCCTTGCATGTTCTGTCTTGAATGCATCTTCCTGTTTCCACGCCGTGCAGGCCATGCATTGCCACGGCTGCTGCGCCTCAACGTGCCTACGAATGCATTCCTTGCATACTCTCGCCGCACCTGCTCGTTTCCATCGACCAGCCGTGAATGCAGACGCCGGCTTTGCTTCATTACATTCTTTGCATTGTCTTTCGTTTCGGTATTTCGCTCGCAGCGCCCTCCAATCCATTTTTTCACCACCCCAGAACCGCAACAGCAATTCCCGCCCTACTTTTGCCCCTTTTTGAAATGGTGCTGCAGGGAACGGTCGGTACACAAACAAACCATACCTGTCTTGGACTCGCGTTAATGCAATGTAAGCTGTCAATGGGTCGCCTGCTTCCCCAATGTGCATTTTAAAAACCCTTAAAACGCTCCAAATCCCTCGCGGCAGCTACCACCAAGCCCTCAGGCCGTCAGCGTTCCAGCATTGCAGCCTGCCCTTTGCCTGCACATAGCCCTCTCTTGTTAGGGCATTCAAGCCTGCCGTTTGCCAGGCTTCAAACGCTTAAAACCCTTAAAACCCTTAAAACCCTCCAACCCCCTCGCGGCAGCTTCCACCAAGCCCTCTGGCCGTCACCTTTTGCTGTTCCAGCATTGCAGCCTGTCTATCTATCTATCTATCTATCTATCTCTCTCTCTCTCTCCCTCTCTTTACAGGACCCCCCGAATGGGGGGGTCGGCGGCACCAGGGCGCTAGCCCATTCTATTTATATGTGCACATTACTAATGTTTTATATGGGTATATTGTAATTTCATTTCATTTCATATCTGCACTACAACTCCGGATCACCACCCAAAATACAAAGATTCCAGAGGACTTGGGCAAAAAGTGCACATATCTGCCGGATTCTACCCACTGGTGCTGCTAGCTTTTCCCATGGCAAAACGACAAATCAATGACCGATGCAGTTGATCTCCGTGTCAACCATGGATTTCCAGAGTACGCTACACATTCCAACACCCACAAGGCACTAGAAGATCTAGAATTCCATGTGTTGGGCGAAACTTCATCCCAGATCCAGCGGCCTCATCATGTGCGGTACCAAAGGGAGAGCCCCAGTTCCAATCTTTGTCCGCCCAGCCGTACCTATCGTGCCGGAACCAGTAATCAGTAGACCCACCTGATTGATTTGATTTTGATGACGGTTTATTTGATTGCACTAGAGTGACAGGAGGACATTTCCAATCGCAATTTGCAGTCTCGAGTGGATTCAAGGCTGACATCACGGGATTGTCTAAAAGAGTCCGACGCCTACAGCTGGAAGCAAAACTACTGTACATCCATCTTTGGACGATGGATTTTCGTCTTGACAAGATTTTTGGCGATCTTGTTTGGCGATCTTGTTTGGCGATCTTGTTTGGCGATCTTGTTAATCAAACGGTTTTGTGACGGATACTCAGATCAAATACGCTTGGGGGAGGATGTCAGGCAATATACAGCCCGAATAGAAACATCTCAAAGATCATTAAAGGCTGATCACATGAAAAGTAGCATGGACAAAGCAATTTCAGAGTTGAGGAAATGACAATCAGAGTAACTTTCTGTCTTGACTGCGTGAAGGATCTTGCACCTGAGAGCAAGCAAAACATGAAAGAAATTGATAGACTACCCAGAACGTTACAAGATGTTACAAGCTAGTCTTCTTTGACAATACGCTTGCTGTTTCAAAACTCAAGGCTGCAGCTTGGGTACCTCAAAACACTACTGCGCGGCATGAGCGGCTCCTCACTGCGGTTGGATGCTGGGTCCAGCCGCAATAACAAGCCAAGAAAGACAAGCTTTGCAAACAGCGACAGGGCATCAATTCTTGACATAGTTACATAATGTTACATAATGTTACATAATCTACAGTCTCTTCTGGGTGCATCGAACTTGTGCATGCAACCTTTTGACGACCACAACACAGTATTTGAATGTTTCATGGTTCTTTGAAGTTCAGCTGTTGTATGACCATGAATCTGTCAGTGGTCCTTGAGTATTCCGACAAAGCAACTCATCATTCCACAAAAAAGAAGCACAGCAGCGCCGCGGAAATTGCGCGCCATGGCGGGCTACTTGCTGTATTTACACTCACAAATCTCACAATATTCTGAGCTCAATGCCATGCACATTAATCCAGGCTATTTGGTTGAGAATTGAGCGAATGTATTCCAGGTATGTTCTAGACCATTCGGATCAATGCGTTGGTCTGAGACAGCTGTTTGAAGTCAGGCAATGACATAATTTCTGGATCCTTCATGCAGAAGGAACAGGTTGTGCCGGGATATGGTGTGAAAATTGATCTAGACCAGCTGGCTGACTGGTGGCAGCTAACGGCCAAAACCATTCAATGCAGAGCGAAAGTACGAAAGAATTCAATCTCTGCCCAGTCGTTTGAACACAAATATTATGTAATATCTCGGATCATCTTGGTATCAAAGATTAGTACAGTCAGTGTGCAAAATGTGTTTGGTTCGACGTGCCAGCTTTGCATCCTGTGCTTGTCATACATTTGGTCGCCGACTTCTGTTCGACCACAGCTAAAGTTCCACTGACTTCCAACCTCGCAAATTTGACGAGCCTGGCTTGTATGTGACATGAAAAAGAGTCAAAATGCTGCATTCTGCCTGTTGGAAACCATGAATGAATAGTCATCTGTGTATGCCAGGTGTTGGAACATTGGACTTCACGCCCCACTTCAAGACAGCAGCTGTGCAAGAGGGATGCTCTCCAAGTTGCTCGATTGGAACAGGCACCTTCTCTTTTGGCCTCGCACAAACTCGGAAGAACATGATTCTGAAACAAATCCGAGTAGCTCAGGGCAACTTTCTGCGGTGAATGCGAGAAAATGAACAGTGACTAACAGATCGATCTTGGACTGAATTGCGAAGTAGGACTCCAAAGGAAGCATATGAAGCAATAATCCAAGATATTCCAAGACATCCCAAGATCAATATTGAGACACGGGTCTTTCCAAATCCTTCCAGCCCAACTGGGTCTCAAGCATCTCCTTCGCCTTGGGTGATGCCTTTGGCGACTGCACACTCTTCCCTGGAGTTCCCAGGCCTCGGGGCGAATCAACAACGCTTTCAAGGAAATTGAAACTAAATTACAAATATATGTACATATATATATACATTCTGTGTGTATATATATAATATAATTTATATATATATATTATATATATACAGATATACATACAATATTCAAACATTGCATAAGTGGGATGAACTCGCACCACCTAACGAAACAAAATCCAACCGTAGATGTTCAAAGGAACCGTGACTGACAAAGCTGTCTCTTCTGCTGAGATTCCAGGCTATCCAGTCGACGGATATCCTGCAGTGCCTGTGCTGAGCTGTTTCATGTGGTCGCATTGCAGAATGACAGCTGTCACAATTGTCACATGCAAGAAAGTCGTAAAGACTTCCTGGGAAGGCTTGTGCAGGATCAAGATGGATCAAGATGGATCAAGCATGCATGGAAGCACTGACCACTTCCTGCAGAAGAAAGAGTGTGAAGATTTTAAATAATGTGCCGGCCTTCTCAGCTGCACCCTTCTCTGCCTCCAGCTTCTCAAGCATAGCTTCCTTGTCACAACCCAGGAATAAGCTCGAGTCGCTACATGTTTGAATGAATTAGTTGTGATACAGCAGCAGCCAAAAGTTCGAGAACCAACCATTCAGAATTCAGCTCAACACAAAGAGGCAGCTGCAAACTCGGGTCATTTGAGACCGGCCATCAACGTAAAGAACAGATGGATTTGAGCTAAAAATGTCACCTCAACGTCTGTCTACCGCATCGTATACTGCTGCTGCCTGCGTAGCAAGGGCCTCTCGAAGTCGCGCCAATAAGGCCTGCCCCAGAAAGCTGGAAATGCAGAAAGTGGAAATGGTGTTATGCTTTATAGCTCATCCATGGCTCATCCATCATCATTGAACTGACTCAACTTCGCCACCACACCAAACAACTTTAGAGGCACCGAAGAAAAAGTGAGGGAGAAAATGCATGCATGAGCCAGCGCATGGCGTTTTGAATCTTGTCTGGTACAAATTGAAGATAAGCATCTGTGAAGTCAGACCGCACTTTGACTTAAACAGGATCAGATCAAAACAAAGATTGCAAGCATTGGATTTAAGCTGGAAGACCGTACAAACAAGCGGCTGAGAGCCCTTTAAGGATGATTGCTATTCAGAATGATTGAGTAAAAAAGTTGGACTGTGCTGGACTCAGACATGCTTTGAATCGTGTTGACTCACTCTGCATCAGTCTCCACTTGATTGCCTCAGCTTCAGCCAAGTCTGCTTCAGCGTCTGCTTCTTTGCTTTCTGCCTGAGGGAGACAAGAGACTGAGACAGGAAAAATCCAGAGGACGTGAAGGCTACTGCGGACGCACAACAGATTGCAGCCTCTCTCTATGACTCTATGGCCAGCTGTGAATTCCAAAAAATGTCCAAACAATGAAATTGCATGACATTGAGACAAATCTTCAATCCTTGGCTCAGACTCAATTTCATGTACTGAATTGTACTGATGCATTTCATTTGCAAAAAGCCATTACGGGAGGCATGCCAGCATGCGCCTGCGCTTTGGCAGCCGTGGCATCTGTGAGTTCCTTAGGGATTGAGTTTGGGAAAAATTGAGGACTTGATTGGAAATAATTGGAAATGGCTTGGGAAATATTGGCAATCAAAGTTTGATCCGTTGCAGTGTGAAAAGAAAGCGCTTCAGTGTGCTACTTCAGTCTACGTCACTTGGTAGCATGCGCTGGCCTTACACGGAACTAATGCTCTCTAGTCTGCCAAGTAACCGCTGAGAGCTTCATCCGCTCGTTATGCTCATTGATCAGCTCCTTGACACTGCTGCGGCTGCTGCTGTGCAGGAAATTGAAAGCTACGGTGTCTCTACGCGCTTGGCAATTCTCTTCCTGACGTTGGCAACGGATTATATAGAATGATTAGACCAGAAGGCAGAAGCTCGAACCCAAGCAGCCAGAGACTCAAAAGCATCTTCACAACTGACAGCTTCCATGTGTCTCATGGCTGACCCCCACAACACTTGCAGCTGGGCGAAATCAACCACTTTCACAGCTGATGGTATGACAAAGACTGATGAAGATAAATATAGCTCAATAGTAGTCATAACGAAGCACTCTCCTGCACCCAGCGAAGCAACGGTGCGCAGGGTTCAGAGGCTCGAAGGACAGAGGCTAAGTCCAAAGGAGGCTTCACAGGGACCTCGGCGTGTCTGCGTGCTGTCCACCCATGTCTTACCCATGTCTTCCATGGTCTCTTACAGTCTGCTACGATCTGTTGGTCTTTCGGTTGTCTGTTGCCTTAGTCCTGTCCTTTGTTGAAACTGTCAGGGTCGAAGCAAATTGATGATCCACAGCATTGGGATGTTGTCGCCTGATTCAAAATTCGCCTCGGAACCAGGACCCGGACTGTGGCGCTGCGTCGCAAGGATGGTCGTGCTTTTGGGGCAACACCTCCAACGGTACACGTCCACGTGCCAAGGACGGAGACATCTGATAAATAAAGACGAAAAGAAGGCAAATAATTGATAATCATAGATGTATCTGATAATTACCTCCCGTATATATATATATATTGCCATGTGTTTACTGCTCAGCCACCATTCTCTCCACTTCACAACCCAGGTGTGCCCCAACATTTTGAGAGTCACAGGCGCTTGGATGGGGTGGAGCAGCGTCTTCAGATTCCCATGGAAAACGGGTGTAAACATTTCGCACTGATCCTCGTGTGCAAAAGGAAAAATGTGAATTTGAAATCAGCCTGTTCCTCGAGTAGGCACAAAGACGTGCCTGGAGGAGAAAAACCCAAGTTCTGAGCCACACAGGCCTGGAGACAAAAGGATACCGGACACGATGCAATCTCTCTGAACCATTCTGAACCAACATCTCAACATATCTCAACCTGCGCTGTTGATTTCTCCGCTCTCAGCTCCAGGCTGGGACATTTGGCACCTGCAAACATCCAAAGAAATCCAAAGAACAGGAATGACTGGGCAAATGCAATGCAAATATGCACGGCTGCAAACAAGTCCTGTCCAGATGACAACTTCACGAATCTAGCAACGTCAAAGTAAAACTATACAATATATATACATACATACATACATACGTACGTACGTACGTACGTACGTACGTACATACATACATACATACATACATACATAGAATATATATATATATACCTAAGCCGAGCCGCGACCAGACTGTCCAGAAACGAAGGAATCAAGACTGCCCTCCAAAGGTCGACTATGTGTTTTTGATTGTTTTTGTGTATACCGATGTATACCGTATACTTCTGTCTGCATTGCAAAACAATTCTTTGTGGAGAAGGGGACGGGGATAGCCCAAGACGAGTTTCTCCTATCACCCTGTTGTCCCTCACTGGAGCCACACCATCCCTGCTATGAACATCTGATCCAGAGAAAAGGTCTGTTGGAAATCCCTCTTTAACTTGATCTGGCCTCCAAACATCATGTCAAAATCGTGGGATTTGCGGTGTTGTGTCAGATAGCATGTAAAGTGCAGGAACATGCAAAGCCGATAAATAGTTGTCAAATCAATTGTCGAGGTGGAGCTTGCACAGCTTTGTTTCCCAGCCTCCTCCAACTGCTTCGAATCAAAGGACAAGACAGAGGCAATGAATCCCTGGATCCAGAACGAAAGATCCGATGACAGTCTCCACTTGGTGCCCGCACAAAGAAGAAATGCTGGTTCTGCCGAGTAATCCCTTCCTACTAATACTAAACCCACCCTATTAATAAACACATCAGGTAGTTTTTGTTATTAGGGGGGTATTTATTATTAGGGAACCCTATTAATGAATTTAAAACCTTAATAATAAAAAAAAAATCGATTTCAAAATCAATTAAATTTCCTTTTATAACGCCATTAAAATACCTTAATAATAAAAACTAGTTTGTTCGATTTCAAAATCAATTAAGTTTCCTTATATAACGGAATTAATATTGCCAAAAATCGGATTTCGAAGCGGATCCTATCAATAAATTTAAAACCTTATAATCATAAAAACTAGTTTGATCGATTTCAAAATCAGTTAAATTTCCTTTAGTAACGCAATTAAAATATTGCCAAAAATTGGATTTCGAAGCGGACCCTATTAATAAAATTAAAACATTTATAATAAAAACTAGTTTGTTCATGTTTGTTCGATTTCAAAATCAATTAAGTTTCCTTTCCTTTTATAATGCAATTAACATATTGCCAAAAATTGGATTTCGAAGCGGACCCTATCAATAAAATTAACACCTTAACAATAAAAACTAGTTTGTTCGATTTTAAAATCCATTAAACTTCCTTATAGAACGCAAATAAAATATTGCCAAAACTCTCGGGAGATTTGCCGTGCTTGAACAAGCACTATCATTTATCGATCGCAATGAAATACATGCCAGAGCAAACGTTCCGCACGCGCCTCCTCCTTTTTGTCGATGAACATCTGCTCTAGGCATGGGGGGAGCAGACATGTCAGATCCAAAACTGCACAGCAAAGAATGCTAAGCACGTGACCCAGGCGTTTGTCTGTGCTCAACTGATCAGCTTGACTGATCAAACTGTCAACAAATCAAAACAGCAAGAGATCATCAAACCAACAAGGCTCACACGCTAGTCGATCCAGACTATGCATCAGCCATAGGTAAGAGATCAAAAAGCTGAGCACATACACTGACCCATCCCAAGATCTTCAAAGGAGTGGGTTGCGCCGCCAACCCACCCAGATTAACTGGGTGGGCGGGTTGGGAAATTTTCAGCCTGGGGTGTGATCTCTGAGCTTCCTTTCACTTCGCGCCAAAATGGCGTACGAAAAGTCGAACGTTCAACTGATCCTCAGTGATCACACAATCCATGAATACATGAGTGAAAATGATAAAAGATAAAAAGGAAAGATCAATAAATGAACATCTCTTAAGAGTTATCAACCTGCCCCAGACCTACCTAACCGTTGGCATGTTAACAACTCTCGGGAGATTTGCCGTGCTTGAACAAGCACTATCATTTATCGATCGCAATGAAATACATGCCAGAGCAAACGTTCCGCACGCGCCTCCTCCTTTTTGTCGATGAACATCTGCTCTAGGCATGGGGGGAGCAGACATGTCAGATCCAAAACTGCACAGCAAAGAATGCTAAGCACGTGACCCAGGCGTTTGTCTGTGCTCAACTGATCAGCTTGACTGATCAAACTGTCAACAAATCAAAACAGCAAGAGATCATCAAACCAACAAGGCTCACACGCTGGTCGATCCAGACTATGCATCAGCCATAGGTAAGAGATCAAAAAGCTGAGCACATACACTGACCCAGGCCCTCTCGCTTTCACTCGAACAGTGAGGATGGCCAAGATGCTTGGACAGTACGCCATCCAACTGCTTCCCCTAAAAAGAGCTTATCTCTTGATGGCCAATCAGCCGGATTGGCATCTGTCGACACACGGTGGATGAAGATGCGAACTCTTAATTGAAAAGCTAAGTCCCAAAACAACGAAATAATTCTGCAAAGATCATCCCTACTAGAATAGCCTTTCACTAAGGAGCCTTCGACCGCCTCAGAATCTATGAGCAAGATGACATCGGCTCCGCGAACGCGCTCCGCAAAAGTCTCCAGGGCAAGCACAGTCGCGATCATCTCCACTGGGACAATCTGGGTGGTGCGCTGGAGCCAACGCTTCTTGATCTCAACTGGGACCGTAGCAGAAAACTGAACAGGCTGCCTCAATCTCCTATCAAACATGACTGCCCCGACACCATCGGGTAAAGTTTCTGAAGGGCGAGGATCAGGAGTGAAGCCATCCGTGAAAATGACCAGATCCGCTGGTTTTGAGCATGCCATCTCGATTGGTCTTGGCGGCCCTTCATTGACGAGCTTCTTCCACTGCTTCAGAGCTTCTGTCAAAGGCGCATCCAGCTTGAACTCATTCTTGATGGGAAAGCGCAGGTACTGTCGTTCAGAGATCACGCGCAAGAAAGCCCTGCCGACTTTCCCCCACAACTGAGATGCACCAAACATGAGCTTTCCTTTCAGCTTCCCCGCAGAGCCAGGATCCAGAAGCCCTGACAGAAGGATAGCGTCAATCTCGGAAGAGATCTCTTCCCGACGTTCCTTCTTGATCTCAAGCTGCATGGCTTCCAGGTTGTAGGTCACTCCCAGAATAGTCGGGGCGCTCGAGAGCTGCAGTTTCTTCTGATCAAACCTCGCTCCGAGCCATTCATGCACTTTCTCTGCCACTTCACGAGCACAGCCAGCTGTTGTAGCTGGCTCAAATCCGTACTTGTCGTCGTAGAAGCTAAAAGCAACCAGACCAAAAATAGAGACCAGAAACTCGTTGATGGCCGCCGACCGGCGATTGTAATTGTACACCGCAGACACCAACCCAAATGAGTGCCCTACCATGACAAAGAAACTTGGGAGCCCAGACGTAGGATCCTTCAGGCAGATGACAGAGAACTTCCTATGATCAGGTCGTACAGCGACTTGACGATAGGCTTTCCTCTCGTCCAAGACCCAACCTAGGATCGCCTCGTCTGGCGCAACTTTCCTCAGGAGCCTAAGTACTGCCACATTCATGTCAGTAGACGGCAGTTGGAGCTTCTCAGTGATCTTGGTCACTTGGTTGATCATGTTTGTCGTAGCACTGTCGCAACCACGCACCTTGTTCTTTTGAACGACCTCAAAGCGCTGTGTTGGGATCCAATCTTCGCAACCCAGACATTCAGAGACTTGGGCCTCCGACGAAAAAGGGCCCAAGCAAGAGCCTTCTTCTACGTCCTCGATCGAGGCTTGCCAGATCTTCTTCAAATTTTCAGAGACTGGCACACCTTTCACACGAGAGACAATCTTCCGCCGGAGAGCCCAGGCCCGGTCTAGAGCTGCTTGAACTGGTAGATCTTTTTGAGGCTTCGAATATGGTGGCCATCGACCGGTGGCGGCGATGGGCCCCACGATCGGAAAACCGTGCAATAAATGCTGCGGAAGGTCATGATCCACAGAGTTGCATGCTGCCAGCATCTCCGCATAGAGCTCCACATGGCAAACTTGACCAAGCTGAGGCGCTTCGTGATCATGACAACCTAAAAGCAAACGCCGCAGAGCTGGATCTGGCTGTTGGCGGATCCGAGCAATAGAGCGAGGCAGGAGCTCCAAGGCGCGCTGCTTCCAGAACGCCAGGAGCCGCTGGCGCTCTGCAAGGACAACCGCAGCAGGACGTTGTAGTTGAGCAAGAGCCTGAGCAGAGGCTTCAGGCAGCATGACCTCCGCAGTGAAGGGGTGAACCACTTGGAGAGCGACACGAATGGCTTCCCCCGGCTCCATCTCAAACTCCAAGAGCGGCTTAGCGGCCCCACGCTTGAGCTGATAGCCAGCGAGCTGTGCCTTGGCTGCCGACTCAGCTTGGCGGTGCCCGGGCCATTGCTTGCTTGACCCCAGGGCACGCTTGCGATCACCAGCCGGAGTCTGCAGTTGAAATGAAGCGAAAAAGTGCGCAAGCGGGTTGGTGAGCAACTCCGAGACCGCCGTCGCCACAGTAGCGCACAACGCCCAAGGATAGACTTGAGCCTGTTTAGTGCGAAAAACCATCCGCTGCTGCACAGGATCCCAAACTTTGCCTTTGAGCTTGACATGCTGGTGACCGCCAGGGCAATGCATGCACACATCGTCGAGCAGATCGGTCGAGCACAGAAGGCGCGTTGGCTTGAGGGAAGGAGCACCAAATGCACACTGGTCAAAATCCAGCCCGAGCGCACGAGTCTCGTGGATCAATTGCCGTACTGTGGGTGTGACCCACATCAACTCAAAAGGGGGTTCTCAATAGAAAAATTACCCCCGAACTGGAAAACACAATTGCAGGCTTCGGCTGTGCGAAAAAGAAAAATGTTACCAAGCATGACCAGTGCCTCATTGTCTGCTGACAAGCTCGGCAGGCCAAGCGGCTCAGCTGCCGAGCGCAGTGGCGGGGGGTCGCCATCGAGCTTTCGGGCTGAGGTAAAAGTGTTGCACGGAGTGCCGCAGTGCAAAAAGAGCACGATACCCAGCTTGAGCACGAACATGATGCGATGCCACATTGTGAGATCCACCACATCCACTGAGACAGGTACTGACTCTGACAACACAATGTCCACGGGAGGCAGGGCTTGAACTCCAGCAAGACGAACAGCATCTGAGATGCCTGCCTTGCCCGCAAACAATTCAAGGAAAAAGGGGCCTGATTCGGGCAAAACTTCAGGCCTAAAGTGAGGTGGGCTCCACTGAAATGCAGAGACGGCAAGGGCGGCCTCGCCTCTCCGGTCCGAACGACTCTTCGTCTGGGGACCATCACTGGGCTCTGCTGGATCCAGAAGCCAATGGCCTGGTGGCGGATCCATTACCACCGGCCGCGCAGGAGGCGATCAGTGGTTGCCGTGCCAAGGATGATCCTTGCCACACTCAACACAAACATGCTTCTGGCGACACTGATCACCGAAGCGGCAGCCCAATGAGCAGTTGTAGAAAGGACAGCGCTTGGGGCCCGAGTACTTGAAGGAAATGAGCCTCTGCCACTCTTTTGCGGGAACGCGCTCATCACGAGCTGCCTGCTTCGGGGCCTCCGAGCTGTTGCCCTTCTGAGCCGCTAGGGCCACCTTGGCCCTCTGCAAAGTGGCCTTCTGCCGAGCTCTTCTCTGCTTGTTCTTGCGAGCTTTGGGCGAAGTCTTGATTGCCGACCCAGATCTGGACCTCGAGCGCTTGCGCACTGGGGTGCTCGGAGCACCGGTGTTGAGCGCCTGCTTGAACTTGTCGAGCTCCGCGCTGGACCTGGCATCATTCCAGAGCTGCTTGTGGTGGGTGAGCACCTCTAGCAATGCCGCCGAGAAAGTGGTGAACTTCTTCCTCTGGTCAGAGCTGACACGATGTACTTTCTTCCGGATGAGCGTGTCCACAGTCAAAAGCAAAGCAAGACCACGGTTCTCGTGCCGCCATTCCTCGAGCTCTGCCAAATACTTGAGGGGGCCAGCAGCGAACGAGAACTCGCAAATGTTGAGATACTCCAGCGTAATGAAAAAGGCGTGGAGCTTGTCCATGACCTGCGTCTCGGAGCTCGCTGAAGTGGGTTGATCTACCATCACCACCCTCAGGAGATCTTCAGCATTCTTGCTGATGCCTGACTTCTGAGCGATCTGTTCATTGCGGGTGCGGATCTCGCCCACCTCGTAGAAATGCACAAAGCCATGGACCAAATAGTCGCGCTGAACCCGCTCAACGAACTTGCGGTGAGGTTCTCGATGAAGAGGGAGGAGGACGTCCGGGTGTCGAGCGACAAACGTATCGCGAAACTCAGCGTGATCCTCCCCTGGGATTTCTGGGACTTTGGACGGATCCTCCTCCATCTTTGCTCTTCTGGCTGCAAAATGATCCTGCATTGTTGAGCATGTCTTCCAGACCGCAGCCAAGTTGGTCAGGGCAAGCTCTTGCGCTGGAGCGTCAGCACCAAGCCGATTGTTATCAGCCACAATGGTGCGCAGAGCAGCCTTCACCGCATGAATGGTGTCGCCGAGCATGGCAAAGGTCTCAACAGTCAACAAACCCGAATCAGCAGCGAGCTTGCACAGCTCCGTGGGCACCCGTTGCCGCCCAAGGATCTGTCTCAAAGGCAATTCGGGCGTCTTGTCAATGTCATAGTTGGTGCGATCGACCATGGTTATGGATTGATGACCGCTCAGAGCCCAAGCTAAAGAAAATGAAATCAAAACGGAGTTAAAACAAAAAACCACGAAATCCATGCTGCAGCATTGAGAACCCTACCGAACAACCAGGCACTGAATGCAGCAAAGTTTCAGCTCAGTGACCGGGTCAGCTACCTCGACGAGCTGAGAAGCACCTGGACGCCACCTCTGGCCGAACTCGTGCACAATGCTTGCAGAGCACTGAGACATCCGGCAGTGTAGAGCCCACTTCGGTGCAATCTTCAAGGCGAATGCGACCGCATGCCATCACTTGATCATCATCCACCTGCAGGCAGTGGTAGCGATAGTCATGGGACGCTCGTGACCCTTGCGTCTTGACGAAGAATATCACCTCGTCTAGAGCACAGAGGTCGACTTCATCGAGGACTGCGTCAGCTGGGGCCTCGAACGGGTGTTCCTGCTCGACCATGTCTTTCACGAGCTGGCGCACCATCTGAGCCGGTACGCTAGTCCGATTCCGTGTGTATTTGAGCACCAAGGGGCCCGGGTTCTTCCAATTGGCCTGCAAGCCAATTTCTTCCGTCGAGCGACCTGCATGAACAGCTGCGTCCAGCAGAGTCACACGAGCGGAATGGGCTGTCAGCGATGACAGGGTGCTGATCAGCTCCTTCAACCGCACCTCTGGGCCCTCGAACTTCTGGTTCAGAGCATACTTGGCCAGGAACTTGAGCCACTGAAGAGACCTCTGGTAGGAAGCCGGGGAGTTCTTGAACTCCTCCCTGGTGTTGAGCTCACGCATCCAGTAGTCGCGCTCCAAGTCTTCTGAACTAAACAAGTTCCAGCCCTCTTCAAGCCACTTCGACTCTTTGAAGCCAACGTGGGGCACCACGAACTTGGTTCCGCGACGACGGCGCTCGACCTTCGTCTGCCACGCCACGCCGAACAAGCCCTCCTCGGACATGAGCAGCTCCATGGGCTTCACATGCATGGCATCGTCGAACCTCAGCGACGCAAAGACCATGCAGAGCCACCACCATATGAAAAGGCGAGCAGGCGCTGGTTCCAGCTTGTCACATACGAACATCTCAAGGCAGCCCACGAGCTCGATAGAGAAGGGAACCGCCTCTTTCAACGTGGTGGCCCTTTTCTGGGTGATGTCCGATTGAACAGCCAGCAGAGCAGGATGAGCCAGATCAGGACACTCGATGGCGAGCTTCGAAGTGACCCACCTGACGGACGTGCGAAATGACGGCAGCACAGAGGGCCCACACTCTTTCTGATCGAGGGCCAAGGCATACTTGAGCAGCTTGTCATGGGTCAGCGGGAACACGCAAAGGCCTTCTGCCGTTGCCCAATCTTCGAACCTTTCCCAAGCTGAGATATGAGCTGCCATCGTCCTAGGAGCACCAGATGAGAGGACTAACTGTCGCAGCCGAGCAGTCTCTGCTGCTGATAAGCCCTCACCATTTGAAGTGTCCTGGAGCAACTTTGAGAAGACCCCTGCCCGCTTGCCGATCTCCTCCAACTTGTTGGACCATTTGAGCTTGGCGGCATTCTCTTGGTCCAACAGTGGGGTGGCCGACGAGTCATTGGAGTCCTTTTTCAAGAGCTTCCTAGGGGGCTGTTGAGGCTTAGAGACGAGCGACTTCATGGCCAACTTGCGGCGAGCCTCGGCCGCCTCAGCGCTCAGAGCAACAGTCACTGGGTCGCACAGCCCAAACCCTAGTTGGTTGGCTGTGGAGGCAAAATACGCCTTCTCGATCGCACTGGCCAGGCTCCAGTACTGCTCAAGCATGAACCCATTCCCCAGGATAATGTCACGAGCATCTGGATCAAGCGATGCCTCCCACTCATGAACTTGGACCACAAACTCTGGCGCTGACCGCACCTCCATCGCGGCGATCAAAGCCAGGTTCGAGTACTGCGAGGCCAATATGGCCTGTGCGAAATCATCAGAAAACACAGGCAGGGCCAAAATCTTAGAGGCCCATCTGTCTGATTGGTGAGCCATCTTGAACCCTCCGTACTGCAAGGTATGACCAACCATCAAAACAGACGCTTCACAGAGAATGAAAATTTCAAGGCCACGACCCCTCAAGGCATGACTCAAATCAAGTGTCACATGTGCATGAACATGCGGGAAGGGCGTGATAGAGAAACAAAGTGATGCTGAACAAACACAAATCACATGTGAGCAGCATGCACTCATGAAAATCTCAGCTGAGCCCTGCCACAACCGACCCCACACCCTGCTGAGGCGTGTGCCTGAGTGAGGTGAGCCGGCACTTGATTTTTATCAAAAACGATCGTCCAATAAACTGCACTCAAAATCACTTCTCACGACTCAAGATCATCCGCACCGTGTGGCATGCAGACAAGACCCTGTTGTGAGACAATGCAAAGAGCTCAAATTAGCAACTGAAACTCCAAAATAAATAAAATCAGAACTCAGACCTATTAAATGAAATCAAGGAGATACAGTGTGACTAGAGCAGATGACTGATCAGCCGCAAATATGACAAACGTGGCTTCAGTCTCTCTGCATCAGATCACACTGGGATCCCACAACAGTGCTAAGGTGCATACCTGAGCCGGGTTGCGATTGCACCCCCCCCGGTTCATCCGAGCTGGAAGTGGGTACAACCCAAAGAAATTTGTGGGATCCACCCACGGCCCGAGCAGCATCCTACCAAAGAACTGTGCAATGGGGCAAGGTGAAAGAAACAGAAAAAGGGGGCCCCAAAGACCCAAATTGGAGGGAGCCCCAAACCAACGCGGAGGGGGGACCCAACCAAACACGGGGAAACCACAAAAGAAAACAAGGGCCCCCCACCTAACACCCATACACAGTTCAGGCGGATGTGCCAGCTTTTCACAACTGAACGGGCGGACGGGATCCTCCGCAAGTGGATTCCTGTGCTCTTCTAGACGAGCAAATTTCGGGCTGAGCAGGCTCTTCAGCAGTCAGTCACCTCTTCGACCACAGGAGCCGGTCCAAATGACTTTGGGGCCGCTGCCGGATGATGGTATCCAGAAACGGCGGTGTCAACGTGATCAAGGAAGGCCTGTGGAGTCACAGTGGCTGGAGCCATCGCTTCCGCTCTCCGTGTCTCGAGCGACCTCCTCTGGACCAAGACCGTTCCCCCTTCAGGAGCAGCACACATCGGCGCCTGACCAGGCTCTGTCACTGACACACCCACTTGAGCATTGGGTGTCACAGTGAGCGCTTGGCTTGAAGACCCAGCCAGGTCGCGCAAACGGCCCGGAGCCGAGGCCAGGGGCACCACCGACGGCCCCTGTCACAGGCGGCAGAACTGCCGTGCTCTGCTCTTGTTCAACATCATGAGCTTGCAGCGCCAAAGCAGTCTTCGGCACGATCTTCAACTCAGACCTGAAGAGCGGCGACTCACATGTCAAATGTAAGTTGGCAGGGTGAGTGTTGACTGCCACTTCGCCGATCCTGGGGCCGGTCTCATCGATCGATGCCGCCTCCACAGCAGCTGTCCAATGAGCATGGATCCCTGCAAGTTGAGAGAGCTGCATAGTCTGATCAGGCCCTTCGATGCGAGCAAAGTGTTCGCGGCACCAGCGGGCATTCTTGATCAGAGTCGGTCCAGAAACCCTGGACACAACCAACCACGTCGATGGCACCATAATCTGCGAGCAGCGCACGTCGACGGAGTCACCTGCAGAGCGAAACCTGAACTCCAATCGGTCAGCATCAAGTCCGATCGAGTCTGCCGATGACGTTGCTGTGATCCTCACTTCAAAGTGACACAAGGGGTAGTCCATGGCAACGACCACGCCCCCATCACTGCAGGCATACAGGCGACCGCCCACTTCAAACGATGTTGCGATCACTCTCCAGCCCTGAAAAATGGTGACCACCATGGAGGGAATGAACAGTGTTGAGTTCATGTTCCTGATCAAGGCATCGTTCAGGTAATTCATTTGAACTGTCATATCCTCATCCGAGCGGTACCCTCGGAGCTCGAGGTGCAGGAGCAACTCACCCTCTACTTTGAACTTCACGTCGACCCACGTCGCACTCTCGTTGGTCATCATAGGCCAACGGAACGGCTGAAAAGCCGGATGAGCCATAACGGCGCCAGTAGGGGCATCCCACTTTGCGCATGGAACTGTGCCGTATGATGTCATGCAGCCGACCAGGATGAACTTGAAGCCGTCAAGCGTCCTGACGTAGAACACGTTCATATGGTATCCAGAATTTGGGGATCTGATCAACTTCCCATCAGACAGCACGTTGATCCCGCACTGGGCATTCAGCAGGATCTCATCTAACAGCCAGCCTTGGAACGGCGACCGGATCCGTTTGTCACGGCTGTCCACCACCAAGACCGATCGCTCGTTTTCTTGAGCACCAAGCTGTTGGATGAATGGAGGGAGCTGAAAATTCTGGGAGTTGGCCCCAGACATCTGGCCCCACTTGATCCCTTTCTGGCCTTTGCGCTTGGCCTGAGCTTTCTGAGCAGCCAACCTCTTGGCCTGCTGTTGTGCTGATCCAAGCACTTAGCGAGCAGCTTGGTTGGCTGGAGCATCTGCATAGGCTGGTTGAGCAGGAGGAGCGCTAGGTTCAGCTCTAGGTGGATCCACTTCACCCCAAGCGCTAAAATCAGCTGGTGGTGGTGATCCCTGAACTGGTCGATGCTGGTTGACCAGCTGTCCACCCTTGTGCCTGGCTACCCTGAACTAAGCTGGGAGGTGGCGCTTTTGGTGCCTGAGCAGGCTGGCCCACATCTGGCACCGAGCCGTCACCCATCATAGTCCATGATGTGGTAGAGCCCAAATTGCTAGCACTATCCTCTGGCCGCAAGAACTCAGCCGCACGAGATGCTGCCATGGCCCTCTGCTTGGATAACGGCGCAGCAGAGGACACAGGAGGAAAATTAGGCATTGAACAAAAGCGGGTCAGACGATCACTTCAAACCCCCAGGCCCTCAATCTACGGGCAGAACAAATTTTCAGCCTGGGGTGTGATCTCTGAGCTTCCTTTCACTTCGCGCCAAAATGGCGTACGAAAAGTCGAACGTTCAACTGATCCTCAGTGATCACACAATCCATGAATACATGAGTGAAAATGATAAAAGATAAAAAGGAAAGATCAATAAATGAACATCTCTTAAGAGTTATCAACCTGCCCCAGACCTACCTAACCGTTGGCATGTTAACAAATTGGATTTCGAAGCGGGCCCTAATAATAAATCAGAAACCCTAATATAAAAAACTAAAAATGTTCGGACGGACCCTAATAATAAACACCCCGGGGTTGACTAGTTTTTAGTATTAGGGGGCAAACCCACAAATGGATACAAATGGTAGCTTTATTTTTAAATTGTTTTCTAAAGGGGATCAATTAATAGTCAAATTGGCCAATCTGAAATTTTCTGAAATTGGAGATGGACGCCTGTTTTTAGTATTTGGGGGACGTTTAGTAATAGGAGGAAGGGATTAGTTACTCCCAAAGAAATACATCTGGGTGCTCACGCTCATATTTGAATACGTGTTCTTCCAGTGACTGTTCAGTCAGGCATTGAATCTGAATGCACTCAGAAAATTCTGTGTGCCTCATCAACTAGCATCCGCTGGCATCGCGGCCAATCCGTTTTCTGGCCGAAGGGTGGAAATTGCAAATCCCTTATCCAACTGCTTGACATCCAACGTGTTTGGTAACCTGTGTTTGAACGGTTTCTCTTTGTCAATCTCTTCTGGTCTTGGAATGTCTCCCATGTCGCCGTGTAGTTTGAGATCCGCTTCAATTGCACCTCATCAAAGCGAACTGCACTGATAGGCTTATCTTTGAAGCGCTGGCAGTGCAGCAGCAACCAGCACGCGGCCAAAATCCGTTTCACCGCTTCTGGTGGGCTCCTGCATGCCAGTTTTGAGAGATACTTGGAGAATTGGTGCATGGCGAAGAGATCAAAGCGCAAAGTCAATGTTTTCATCGGGCCAAAACGCTGCTGCCAGGACAATCCAGGACACAGGACATGCACGACAGTTCCACTATGTTCCACTCATCAAAAAAAAAGAGCCCGACATCTGACATCGATCCATCTCCGCCGCTCCTTAGGAGCTGCCGGATCTCGGCCAGCTGGCGCTTTGAGAGACCGCCCACCTCCCACTGACACCACTGACTTTGTAAACATGGGATTTCCATGGCTTTCCGCTGACATCCGCTGACATATTCAATATTATTCAATTGGAACTGCTGCCATGCCGTTCGTGATACTTAAATATCTATCTTTAAAGTTGTCTTGTGTCTTCCAGCAAGATGCAAACTGGTGCAAAATTTTGCCTTGTCTCCACATGATTCAAGAACGTGATACATTGTTGATATATATAGCAACTTTAGCAAATGTTGATATCATGACATAATTCCCAGCTTGAAATCTCTCCAAGTTCGGGATCTGTGCCTCTTCAGCAGCTTTGGCGCGGGCTTCGCCCAGGCGGGTGATGGCCTGCACCAAGGAATACACAGCACTTGTCTTCGATCGAAAAGCTGTTGCTAAAAGATGCTAGAAGAAACATGTCGCTAAAAGAACCAAGGAAAGTGAATTTGGAAACATGTGGATTTGGAACTGTGTTGAGGGTCTTTATGCATTTCTCCCAAAGTCACTCCAAGAAATGGGTGGCATCTCCTTATGAAGCTGTTGAGTCTTTTGATGATATCATTCTTATATATGTTCTATGATGTTATGTGTATATATATATAATTATGTGTATATATAATTATATATATATATTATATTATATTATATATTATATATATATCATCATAATACTTTATCACTTTATATTGCGATGCTTTTCTGTGTCTCTTTTGTTTCTCCGCTCAGGCGCTACGGTGCATCTGCAGCACCTCCCTGAGGTCTTCGCAGCGCTGGCGACTGCCAGTAGCGTCCTCGTTGCACTGCCGCATCCTGGGCCGCAGAGCGCCTTCGAGCCTCAGGTGACTCAGGTGACTGGCCCTTCTCACACTTCAAAACAGATCACGAAGCCGATACCGGGATCATTCAGAGATCATGAGTCATGAATCATGAGACATGATTCAAGATGAATCATGAGAAAATGTACTCAAATCATCTAAAATCAGTGGGCTCAAGTTTGAGCCATGCACACATGTCAAAATGTCTACCGTGCAAGATTGTCGAACAGCAGCGAAGTTCGATGAGTTTCCGGACTCTTTCTCCAAGTCTTTCAGTTTCTCCCTCAAGACCGCCACACTTTGCTCGCCCTACACGAGGTAGCAAGAAAAGTGGCTCAGTTTGCCAGCGAAAAGACCAACTCTGGCCTGAACACAATCCCCCCCAGCCTCTTTGAGGGTATGAGCTTCCTTCTGCAAAGTGCCAGCACCTTCCAGATTGAGAAACAGGCCCGTGTGTTGCGCACACACAAGTTTTTGCTGTTGATGCTGTTGCTACAAATAAGAAGTCTTCAGCAAACTATGGCCATTGTCGGATTCTGAAATCAAGAGGTCAAAGCAGACTCAGACACGGCAGTCAGAATCGACACTGTCACTACCACTATCTGATCATATCGTGCCTACGCATCGCATGGGCTTATAACCGGCCATGAGGATTCGTTTCAACTCGTCTCGTTGAGTGGTGAAGCCAAACCCGTTCCTCTTCGTCTGACTGCGGCTACGAAAATCAATACTAATCAATCTTAGCTACTACAAAAGGAAAATATAATTATGACTCCTCCCATTCTCGTTCATTCTTTCCTCAACACGCACAAGATCTGGCCTATGCCCGCCACGAGTGTTCGCCCAGCAGCAGACAAGGCACCTGCACAACATCAGACTCGGCCACAAGGCGGGTACAAAAAGTATCAAAAAGTTACAAAAGCCATCCCGGAGTCTCGATCCGCAGAGCTGGAAACCAGTTCTCCAGACCTCTCCAGATCATGTCTCCCATCCTGTTTCTTGAACAAACAAAAATGCAACCTGGCAGAGATCTAAAGAGACTACAGCGATCTATATAGACACGTTATGATACGTTATAGACTACCTGTTGCCAATTGTTGCCACAGTGACAGCAACAAGACAAACCGAGAAAAGGCGGCGCACCAGGGCCTGAAGCTGTTCCAGCCATGGGCCATCGTGCAGCACGTGCACACACAAGAAGGCACAGCTGGGAAAGTCAAGGAATCATAAGGAACTCCCAGTGTTTTGGGACATGGACCTTTTCAACGTGTTGGAGAGCATGGTGAGTGAAAGCATCTAGAGTTTTTGCGTTGGTTGCAAATTACTCACCTTTGTTGAGAACACAATCCATAATCCACAAGGACTGACCTCGCCAGCTCTTCAGAAGTGCATTGCGGTGACAGCCACTCTATTTCCGAAGTCAAATGTTACGCATCATTTGATTCATTCGATGTCGTTGCATTTCCTGTGAGCCTCTACAGCAAGTCACTGATGAGCTGCTTCTCTGGTTTCGTCTGTTGTGCGTGCAACCCCCTGTTTGGGGGTTCAAGACTGAAACTCACTGGCACTTACCGCAGCCACCCTAAACAATTTGCCAAGTTGGGCACCCCAAGCAGAATGCTTCTCCTGCACCAAGTGTACGAAAAGCAAAAGATCGAAGATCTATGCTGACCTTTCCACTGTGCTAATCTATCCGAAGACGAAAGAAAAATGCACCATTAGGAAACTCTTATGTCATCTTACATTCAACAGAGCATGATGAGGAATCCAGGTCAGAAGTTAGACATTCCCAAAAAGGATGACTTCCAAACAGCCATGCACACGCATGGCTTCCATGCTGGATCGGTTCAAAAGCACAAACTCAGCTCCCGAGATTGAGATTTGTCTGTCGGTCCTCATGAATCCGGAGAATAGGCTGTCCATGATAGGACCACAAGGCATCACAAGGCAATCTGGGAATTGTTGTTGAATCATTTCCAGCTTGGCATAGACTATAGTTCTTGCAACATTCCTCCGAGCGATTTGGTACTGGTCTGCCAGCGGATCAATGCAGATACAACTGTGTCTTTAAGACCGGAGTATCTGACACACTCCTTGAACACAAACGCATTCGCTGGCGCGCAAAAGTTGGTGTCAGCTATGATAGCTATGAGAATACCCGCACTGCGTGCTTCTAGGATCTTGAGGTGCAGTCTTAATGAATGAAAGGATTAAATCATGATAAAATATGACTATTGTGGTTTGCCATTCTGATGCTGCATCCTTGATCCACCTGGACAGCAGTGCTCTTCATTTCGGTGCACTAAGAAGTACTAAGACATACTAAGACTAGCAATGCAAGTACTGGAGCTGTCCTACGATGATTACGATGCAAGAAATGCAAGTCCCTGTGTGGGCGGTTCACGGATCCCAGCCGCCTGCCGCCGTACCATGGGCGTGTCATCGCCGCAAAGCCTCGAGGTCCCGAGCGCTACCGCAGATCTTCCAATGTGATGCGAGACACCAAGACACCAAGATTTGCCAAGTGCCTTTCTTTTGATGGTTGTCTTTCTTGTTTCAGGGTACGGTACTGTATATAACTAATTCAGGTGGACTTGACAAACTGATTACAGTCTGTTTAAGGCACACAATCACGCTAGCTGCGGTTGTGTGAATTACTGACGGAACGCTGAAGTTCAAGGAGGTTACTTTGATGTCAAGATCGAGGTAAGATCAATACAGGAACCTGTGCTTTGCTATCTTCACGTCGACGTGGGGAAATCCAGCAAACGAAACTCTGGCCATGGCGTATAGTACTTTTTCAGCAGCTCTTGCTTCTTTGCCTCCCCGACCTGCATACATATGATTCTGTCAGATTGAAGAGCCCGATCTTGGAACATTTGGACATTTGGATACGTTTGAAATCTGAGTGGATGAAAGTCTTCTGAGCAAGTCGAGCAGAAGGCCGCGCCTTTGGCAGGGCGGCAGAGAATAGGCTGCATACTGAAATCCGAGATGTGAACCTGTCGAGATCGAAGTTTGATGCCAGAGTCTCATCAAATTCGGTTCAACGTGACAATGGTTGACTATGCGTGATTGTCCAGTTAATTCAAAACAGTGACATATCAGCACAAATCGTTCCGCCCTTGGCACTCATGTAAAGGTACTGGCGTGAAGCTGATGTGACCCCTGAGAACGTTTCCCCCGCACCAGTCATGGGTGGCCAGTCGTCCAATCAAGCCGCACAGATGAGACAACACCTGCGAAGGATAACGAAGGATTGCAAAAAGCTTGGTGTGAAATGTGCTTAACTTCTCAAAGTTAGGCTGGACTCCAATGGGGCATTTCCTTTCATGAAAGTGTCATGGAATGTACGAAACGTACAACTTACAAATACTGTGCTTAAAGCCAATCGAAGCCAACTAATCCGAGAACTCCCCGCATGTCAAGCTCCTACCGTGCTCTTTTCACGACCACGAAACAGCAGTATCTCCGGCAGTGAAAAATCTGGGCAAAAGTGCAGCAGAACTAAAAGTATTGACAAATAAATACAAAATAATACAAATAAGGAATTTCTATCAATTTCTGGTTGCAAATGACTCAGATTCCTTTGCCATGTCAACGGCCGGACTCCTTGGCCATGGCTGACATGCTGCTTCCGAGCACACGGCCCTTGCAGCCCTAAGTCTCAGAGTTTGCTGGGTGGCACCAGACGAAGGTCTCGATCTGGCACAATGCCATGGCCACGAATCACCTGAGTCAGGAACAGTCTCCAGATCTCCAGTACCGGATCAAAGATAAACTCAGGTGCTATCCCCAACAGCTTGAAAGCTTCTGCGTTTTTGCCATAAAAAGTGCTCATGCCATAAAAATTAAGCGCTTATGCCCTAAAAATGAAGTGCTTATGCCATAAAAAACATCGGAATCCTGTGGAATTTCACAAAGCATCTGCAGCAGAACCCTCCGGAACCTCACAAGGTATCTGCAGCAGAACCCTCCGGAACCTCACAAGGTATCTGCACCGGAACCCTCCGGAACCTCACGAGGTATCTGCACCAGAACCCTCCGGAACCTCGTCCGGAACCTGGTGTTGAAGCTGCACCGGATCGCACCGGAGCTAATCTGGGCTAAAGACCCCACCCATATCAAAGTTTTGCTGTTGGGGAAAAATGGTAGACAGAACAAAAAAAAACAAGCTGAAGTCCCTTCTGCGGAAACTTGATACAACCCTGCCGTCAGATCTGAGCAGTTTCTAGAAGGATTGCCAAAGTGCAAAACGACCTACACCCGGACCTAGGTTGAAAGGTCATGACTTCAATACTTTTAAGTCTTTGAGATCTTTTAAGCAAAACAGCCCTTGATTTCCATGAAGTGATGCTTACACTTGCAATGGTGAAATACATGGAATACAGAATGAATAGAATACATTGTAAATGCGAAGGAATTTCTCCGTGCCAAGTTGCAATTCTGTCGTCCCAAAGCTCCACCACTCCGTGGGCCGTTGGCGTTTCTTCCGGTGCGTTCAACGGTGACGGCAGCGTGACCTCAGCCGGATGGAGCCGGAGTTGCTCACGCAATCAGCATCAATCCATCCGGACCCATTCGGATCCATCCGGTTTCACCTTCTTTGGAGTCTCAGAATACTTAGAGAATGTTTACCCAGAGACACTTCAGAATACTCTAAATACTTAAAATATCTTTATATATCTTAAGACCGATCTCGCTCACTTGTCGGATGTGCAACAGCAAACCCTGGTCTCCCAGCTGGGTACTGGGTAGCTCCTTTTCTGCTCGCAGAAGTTGCATCTCCCACCACTGGGACTGCGTGTTCTAGGCGTGTTCTAAGCGAAAGCCGATGGAACTGTTCGGATTCAACGTGGAAACGCTTTGTTTTGGGTTTGTGCAGTTTGTCTTGATATGTCTTGATCAGTGTCACTTCAAGGGGTAAACAAAATGTTCCGTCGATGTCAAAGTGTTTCTCCATGTTCCATCCCAAGTGCCCACAGCTAAACACTCGAGCAACTGAGAGGGCTCTTGTTACACTTGTTCCTGCTTTCAAGCCTCCCACAACATCCACAACAAAAAGATTAGGCTAGAGATCACCTTCAGAGTTTTCCACCTGCAGAACACTTCCACGCCTCATTTCAAAGTGAAGCATTGGCTTCGCGCGGAATTGAGCACGACTTCAGGATTGTTGGCCGTCGGGTGATCCTCCCGAGCCACTGGTAGCAGGATTGGAAGCCTTGTCAGACCCCAACCTCTATACTTCCAACCATATGTCCAATGCCAAAGCTGTACATGACATATCTTTACATTGTGCATCATTGTGCGACATTGTGCCAGTCCTTTTCAGGGCATTGTGCCCGTTTGACTGGTCACGGGTATTCTGGGAATAGCTCCGAGCATCTCCGAGCCGGTTCCCGCCCAGTCCCCGCAAGGATTGGCGATCGGGGCAATGAGGCATTCATCGAGCCAGGAGCCCTGTGGCTCGATGGTGGCTCATGCAAAATCTCATCATAATTTAAATAATATTTATATGTATATATATATATGTATATATATAATATATATAATATATATATATAATATTGTATGATGGTGTTATAGATTATCTACATACATTAAGAATATTGTGAATGGCTGCATCCACTTATCAACTTTATCTTGCTGGCTAGGAATGCAGAATTCCAATTGTGGTTAAATGTCTGCCAGGAGTATTTGAACTCCAAGACCGCCAGTCAAATAGCAACGATGAAGAAACAAAATTCAAAAGATCAGACAAGAAATCGAGAGTAAGGTGACATGAAGTGAGTTTCTCATTTGTGTGATCTAGACATAGCTCCAGAACAGGCTTCATAATTCTGAGGAAAAATCGTTGTAGCCTCTAGCCCTGAGTCTCGCTTTGAAGGCCTGCTTCAGGAATTGAAAACCTTTGTACCTGTTCTCCACTAACTAGACCGTTAGGTCTGCTGTCTCAGACCCATCCTGAGCGCCGCAGAAGGGATTGCCAACAAAGTGCCATCGAGAGTCAAGGCCCTCCAAAACTCCAGAATTTGTTGTCAACATTTACATCAGATCTGCAATTATGGGGAATCAGCTTCACATGTGGTAACACTTGTGGTCACATATTGCAAAAGTCAGTTGCTACACTTGTTCGTTTGACTTCATCATTGTTCGTAAACATGGGGCAGGACCATGCAGGAACTGCAGGATGCTGTGACGACGTGGCTGAAAGGACATGATTGTGATGTCACTGCCAGGAGTCACTGGAGCTATCAGAGCTGGCATCCTCAGGGACGGCAGAATGAACGTGAAGAAACATGAAGGATCGGGGAACAACATGGAACAGCCTGGAACAGCCAACAAAGTTCGATGACGCTTCAATTCAAGTTCGCCACTGGGTCAGAGATGTCAGAGCACCAAGCCATGCAATTGCGTTAGCAGTTGCTTGAGAGGTTTGGAGACATCTGAATTGTTACACTTGTCACACCTGTTGGACGAGTAACATCCGACAGAAGGCGCTTATCTTCCCGCCGCTGCCGACCACGCAGTGCTCGCGCCACTGGTCCAAGAAGGACCAACCTCAGGCGGAACTCATGCAGCAGTTCTCTGCGCATGTAGCAAATTGATGCAAATTGTAGCAAGGCAATATTTATTGCATTTATTGCCTTCAAATATTCGGACAGCTTATGGATGTTTATGGCAGCAATTGGATCGAGCATGGAGTCCAATGAGTCCAAGGGTCTGTAGGAAACCATGATAAAGGATCACGTAGATGGCCAAACAAACCGCCAATAGCCACTTGAAGTGCCATGAATAGCCTGACAGACATGGAGCACTCAATGCACTCAATGCACTCAATGCACTCAATACACTCAATGCACTCAACGCTTTGTCCACTCGGAGCGGCCTCTACTGTCTCTGGACTGAACACGGTCAACACACTGGATGTGTTTGATGGGCGGTTCTGCAAATTTGCATCCTGCATACCCTGCATACCCTGCTGGACATGAGAGTGTTTCTCAACTACTTTTGGCACAGGTGTGAAACGTGTGAATACAAACACCAGCAGATATTGAAAAAAAATGCAGGAGAAGTGGCGCAAACATTAATCACAACACGACGCTGGCCATTGCAACCAGGCCACAGTTGTTTGGACCCGTGCAATCATCCACCACCTTCAGGCAGCGCAAAAATGTGCGACCCTGAAAAGTTTGAACAAATTGGAGGACTGAGGACCCTTATGGTCTGTGCCAATGAGCTTGCATGACTGATCTAATGATGTTCAATGTCCTCAACAAGCATAGAAATTGTGTGTGTAATCATTCCAACCTTAAAGCCCTTGCCAGTAGAGATAGTTGTGGAGTTCAACGGAATCTTTGCCAATGTGCTGCCAGGCGGTAGACAATCCTGGTCGAGGCAGAGCACCGCTTCAAGCAAAGCCTCTCATGTTTCCTCTGAACCATCCTCTGGAAACCTTGAGTTCCGGACACTTCTGGTTTCCCAAACATCTGAGGCTTATTGGCACATATTGGCACCCTGTTCTAGTATTTCGATTCCGTTGCCCTTTAACGCATGTCATGAATTTCCGGTTTCTTGGGCTTAGCAGATTGTCTTCACAGCCCATGAATCAGATCCGGCCGCCTTCTCTGGAACTGGCTGCCACCAAGGATGGTCAGGGTCCAGCGGGACATAGTCCGGGTGCGAATCGGTTTCCTCAGCAATTGACATCGGCCATTCTCAGAAAAGAAAATGTTTTGCCCTGAGAAAACCTTAATACAAACAACTATACTTTGTAGCCGCTTCCTTCTTCCAAAATGCACACAAGGAACGGACTGTCAGTATAATTGTAGGGCCGTTGGAGGACATGTCACTAGCTCTTACCCTATTATATAAGCACTTTTCCTTTTGATTTTCCTCCAATTTTCATTGAAACTAATGTCCTGAAGTTTAAGCATGTCTTGGGGTCCCACTTAGGAAACAAGTTTCGGCCCCTGGATAAGCCAAGGTTCTTCTTGCCAATACCTCACCTGCACTCCCAGGAAACAACCGCCAGTGCCACCCACTGATAGCTGACTGAGAACCGGGATGTTCTTGCAGGCGAGGGATGATTGCGTGTCGCCTCAATTTGAGTTTTAAAGGACTGCCACTATGAAATACCATGAAATGCTGCTAAATACAAGTAACTATATGTAACTATTACCAGTAGTACCGCACAAGGCGGTGGCCGAAGTTTCAAAAATAGGAAACCTATAGGAGAGGTTGGTTGTTGTGAATCAGGGATGGCAAAGCGAATCCACTGATGGACCGAAAGGTGCTTGAGGTCTCCTCTCTGTCTCTCTCTTTCTCTGACTATCTACCTACCTATCTATCTTCTATGTATCTATCTATCTATCTATCTATCTATCTAGCTAGCTAGCTAGCTATCTATCTCTCTCTCTCTTTCTCTCTTTCATCTAATTACCTATCTACCTATCTACCTATCTACCTATCTACCTATCTACCTATCTACCTATCTACCCTCTGACATCGCACAAGTTCTTGTGCCGGAAAGACAGCCAACCAGCTTGTGTGAGCTGTCAATCCCCATCTGTACAACTTCCTACCAAAAGGACGGGAATCTCAAAGACCCAATACCACCAGACCTCCTAAAGAGCGAGGACAAATCCGCGACCACAGCGGGGTGAAGGGGGATCCGACCGCCCACAGACAACCCACGGGCACCAAGCCGCACAAAGGGCAGACCCGAAACATCGTCCACATCACCCGCCGGGAGCCCGTCGACGGCACAAAGCGCGCGGACCCACGTACGATACAACTGCGACATCCGCGGAAGCACAAAGGAGTTGAGCGTCGAGTCCTCCAAAACACACCACTTACCATCGTACCAAAACGGAGGAAGCGAACCCGTGTCGAAGACAAATTGCCAAAGCAATTCGAGTGCTGAAATCCCACACCAACCTGCGGCACATGATGGATACCACCTCAGGGAGCACAGCCATTCATGCAACCTCCTGCCAAAGCCCGAATGAACCTGAGACCGGAGCGAGATCTCATCGAGCCGCGCACCTCTACCTACCACCACAAAACCGTCAGGCTCCCATTCACCGACCTTGGGTCTTTCGACCTCGACGAAAGCCTGCGCAATTGCCACATGCAAGTCTGCCAGTCTCGCCGCGTCTTCCTTCGCAGTGTTGTATTCCCTGAAAAGCGCCCGATACAGCCTATGCTGCGCCCTTTCAACAACCACCTTCTTTGCCTCCGCATCAACCCTTGCATTGAAAATGGCCAGAATACGGGCCTCACCCACCAAGCGCTGAGGATCCTGATGCGCCTTCACCCAGCGCACGATGCATGCACCCCACGACCTACCTGCCACCGCCCCACAGAAGAACACCCAAAGGTCCTTATGATCCGCAGGGAGACTGGACAACCTATGCTCCTCCGGCAGCTTCAACAGACCAGTGGCAACCCGCACAACCGCGAGGTTATCGCAGAAAACCGTGACACAGGTGAAAGAGGAAAAAGCAACTGCAAGCGCAAGGATCTCCGCACGATAACTGCTTTGCGCCAACCCAGGCAGAAGCCCGGCCCACACCAGGTCGTGGGTCCCGTTCGAGTTTGCCAAGACCACCGCACCTCCCGCAATAGCAAGCCTTGGGAACCTGGGGGACAAACAGCTCCCATCACAGAAGACAAACTTCCGCTCGAGACAAGAAGAGGTAACCAGAAAGGGCCAATCCAAGCAGCATGACTCAGCTTGCCACTCCCGCAACACAGGCAACTCATCCCACAACCCGTATGCCCAAGTATGCGGCGGCAGCGACCGACCCCCAAGCAGCTCCAGAAACGGCCCACGCAAATCAGCGACTGCTTCACAATCTCTAGCCCTGTGCAACCTGGAGTCCTCCTCTCCACACAAAGGACACGCGCGCGAGACCTCCACACCCGCAGCATGAGACAAACAGTCCCGAGTAAAGGTCACCCCGGTCACCTGCGTAAGAAGCAAGGCCTGCTCACCGAGGGGATACTTCATCCACGTCCTGGAAAGTTGAATGTCAATGTGCTCTATCCCAGAGCAATCCTTTCGGTGCGCGACATTCGCCGCCACCTGATCCATCCACGAAGTTTCCAAAACGTCCTTGACCGCCATGAAACATCCGACCAAAGTCATCCCTGGCTTCCAGACCCACCACCATCCACTCCACTGAGCGCAACTGCTTGGCCAACAAGTAAGAAACACCCCCAAAACCACACCGCAACGAGATCAATCCTCGGCGCATACGAGCCCGTGCCAAGGGGAAATCCCTCCACATCAGTCTGAAGAGCCTGATCCTTTGAACCAATAGACAAAAGGCAGGATCCACTGTCTGCATAGCCCCCACCGAACAAGCCAACCAGGGGCTTACCCCCGGTTTTGCCAAGGAAGCCACCCTACCTGCCTGCGTTCTCAATCTCTTGTAGACCGACCGAGGAACCTGACAAGTCTCCGCACCATGCAGACATTGTGGCCAGATTCCGGACAGAATCAACCTTGTTTTGCGCCACCTGGAGCACGGAACAGCCCTGGCCCGATGCAGCCTCCTGTGACCGAGAGAGATCCTTTGGTTCCTTCTGGCAGCCGCACGTTTCTTACAATAGGGCAAATCAGCACCAAGATCCACGGATTGGAGCTTAACCGGGATTCGGTCCTCACCCAGGGTAGCCAACTTGAGACGCTTCCTTCCCTCCTTACAAGCACTCCACAGCCAACATTTCTCCGGGGAAATCGGCAACGCACAACAGGTCAAAAAGGTCTCCACCGCCGGAAGGATACGCAACACCGGTTCAACTTTGTCCGCAAGCACCTGCCAATTGTCCGCGTAAGTGAGCGGCAAGACCTGCCCTTTCGACTTCACCCAGAGAGCAAAAAACCGACACATGCAGAACATGGCGACCACAGACAAGGGGTCACCCTCCGGCACCCCCGCAGTGGCCGCCCGATCCCCTGGGTCCGCCCTGTATGCATTGCCCATCACCAGCACATGCCTTTCCATGCCATCCAAACCGGCTAGCCACGCTCTCACCAAGCTCTCCGGGATCCCAAAGTGACACATGACCTGGCACACCAAAGGGCGTCGTAGCACATTAAAGGCCTTGACGATGTCCAACACCAATCCCGTGGGTGCTTTCCCTGCGTGCATCTCCTCGGCAACAAAGTCCGCAACAAACCCCCAAAGGGACCTGGTCGAGAGACGCGGTCCGACCGTTGGCAAGGCATGCACCTGACA